CACTAACTGGTGTTTATCTGTTCAGATAAACACACACCTCAATCCCACCAATTCCCGCTCGTTTTCTCTGCAATGCTGGAGCTGAGTCAGATTCGTAGAGTAATTTACGTCAGGTCTGGGATGGTCACTAGCGAGTTGTCGTTTTTTCGAGTTCTAGTCCAAGGCAGCATAGGCGCGCCACGACGTGATGACAGAAAGTCAAATCTAGGCACCCGGCGGATGGCGGGCGGAAGGGCGGAGTTTTCAATCGGCAGGAGGCGGGACTGGGCAGGAAGTATTTTAGCGATGTACTGTTCATATAACACCCACCACGCCCCAATTCCAACTCGTCTGCTTAGCAATGCTGGATCTGAGTCAGATAGTGGATTAATCCACGTCAGATCTGCCATGTCACAAGCGAGTTGTCGTTTTTGCGTTTTTCTAGTCCAAGGCGGCAAAGGCGCAAGTCAACTGTTTGGCACCCGCTGATGGCGGGCGACGGAAGAGGGCGAGTTTCAACCGCATCATCTGGGCAGGAAGTATTTCAGCGGGCGGGCCATCCAGTTAGCACTCATTCCATCATTCCTGCTTTACCAGACACTTCTCTTGGCTGCGTTCGCGAGATTGCTCACCTTGAAGCTCAGCATCGTCATTGTCATCGTTACTACTTTCACTTCGGGATCGGCTATGGCTGCAAACGAACTGCGACTCTCTGGCCTTGTACTTGCTGCCGCACTGGCTGCTCTTATGCTCTCAGGTACTCATCATTCTCTCACCTTTGGGAACACTTATTCGTCTGTGCAATTTTTTACGTTTTAGGGTTTGTGCTCATGATGTTGTTTGCAGATTTATTGCTCATTAGGAACGAGTCCTGACCACCTCCTTCATCCCCCGCACTGTTTTTCCCAGCCTGTGCGCCCAGGGTTGCTGTTGCCATTCGCCTGCCATCTGCTACCAGCAGCCAGTGCCCAGTGGGTTATGTGAAGGACGCAGAAGGCAACTGCATTGGTGAGTGCTGTGAATGCATCGATATTGGTTCATTCGGCCTCATTTGGTGTGCAACTTCACAGCTTCAACATGTAATCCGGCATTCACAGCCTCAGTTTGTGCTCCAGAAGACATTAACCATGCCACGTGACATTCTGCACGGACTTTTCAGCTCACCATGTGCTTACCATCCCACGTGTCTTTGTGTCCCCCACGTGCCTGCGTGCAGACTCGTGCACAGTACGCAACTGCGGCACCAACGCGAGGTGCCTCAAGAGCCAGGCGGGCTGGGCGGACTGCGTGTGCGACAGGGGCTTCAAGCTGCTGCCCGATGCGTCCTGCGCCCGTGAGTTGACTCCACCCAACCTTTTTGCTTCCCATATCCGCTGCTGCTTCACATGACATGGTATCATCGCTGCTGCTTCACATGACATGGTATCATCGCTGCTGCTTCACATGACATGGTATCATCGCTGCTGCTTCACATGACATGGTATCATCGCTGCTGCTTCACATGACATGGTATCATCGCTGCTGCTTCACATGACATGGTATCATCGCTGCTGCTTCACATGACATGGTATCATCGCTGCTGCTTCTGCCTCTCATTCAAGCTGTCTCGGTCGCATCCAGGCCTGTCAGCATCGTGGGCATTCCACTGGAATAAAGTTGGCAGCTTTCACCTCTTTTCACTATCCCTCTGCGCACTCTACTGTACACCCTCTCATGCTGTGAACCTGGTAGAGCTGTGTACGGCCGAGGACTGTGGGGAGAACGGGTACTGTGAGGAGGACCAAGGAATCTCCTCCTGTCATTGCAACCCTGGCTTTGAAAAGACTGCGGACGGCTGTGTTGGTGAGTGCTGCTTATCCGTACTGATTTGTCTAATGTCTGATTTGATCCTTATGGCGCTGCTGTATTCTAATGCTTGCTGTCCCCTTTGAGTCTTCCCTTTCCAGATACGTGTGTGCTCCAGGCGTGTGGTGAAAACGGCCAGTGCGTGAAGGACGCGGAGGGGGCGGCATCCTGTGTTTGTGACCCGTTCTTTGGGCTGGCGCCGGATGGCAAGACATGCACAGGTAGCCATTTGCGTGTGCTGCTGCTGATGTGCTGTGGTGCTGCTGCTGAGGTGCTTTTCTTTGTGCCGCCGCTTCTGTTCTGACGCCATCTGCTGCTAAAATTGTTCTGCTGCAGTTAATGGATGATTTGCTTCGCATTCACTGCGGTTACTGCTGCTTGTTTTGTTCCCGTTGCTCTCCTCCTGCCAGACACATGTGTGCTCCAGGAGTGTGGCGAGAACGGCCAGTGCGTGCAGGACGAGAATGGGGCGGCGTCCTGTGTTTGTGACCCTGGATTCACGCTGCGGGATGATGGCAAGTCTTGCCATGGTAAGGCTGCAGTTTGCTGCTATGCTTCTCACCTTTGCCCTGACAGTGCCTTTCAACACCGTCTAACTTTCTGTCATCTTTTTACCTGCAGCTCATCGTTTCAACACTCCCAATGATTCCCCGCCACCCATTGTTTCTCGCAGACAACTCACCCAACGGGCCACCTGATTTTGTTGACCTGCCACCTGCTGCTGTCAACCGCCCCTGCCCTGCGGGCGAAGAGAGGGATGCAGACGGCAACTGCGTTGGTGGGTGCTGTTGGATAGAATGAATGCAACGTTCTGTGTTACATTTTCCAGAATTCATCCACTGTAGTCTTGTGCCGTCTGCATTCTGTGTTACATCTTCTGGATTTGGTGTACCAGTTGTGATGGCGAATGATGACGTGCCTTGTTCTGCCCCTTCGTGCTTGTCTGCCCCCACGTGTCTGAGTGCAGACGTGTGCGTGGTACGCAACTGCGGCCCCAACGCCAACTGCCTCAAGAGCGAGGGAGGCTGGGCGAACTGCGTGTGCGAAAGGGGCCTCAAACTCCTGCCCAACGCGTCCTGCTCTCGTGAGTGTCTCTGCCCAATTCTCGCATCCTCGCTGCTTCCGTTCCTCGAGTTCACACCCGTGTTGCAAGTGCCCAATCGCTGCCTCTTGTTCGACCTTCCTAGTTGCAACCAAGTCCTCTTGCGCATGCATGCAGGCAGGGCACTCTGATTTTTTTCCACTTTCCTGTCCTTGCTCCCGTGTCCATCTATTGACAGACTCGTGCTCGATAATGGACTGCGGGGAGAACGCCTACTGTGAGAAGGAGGAGTCTCTCGCCGTCTGTCACTGCAACTGGGGCTACGCCATGACCGAGGACGGCTGTGTTGGTCAGTGCTGTGCTGTGTTGGTCAGTGCTGTGCTGTGTTGGTCAGTGCTGTGCTGTGTTGGTCAATGCTCTGTTGCAATGCGTGGAGAATCAGTCTGTGGTTTTCTGCGGATGATTCAATGCTATACAAGCTGAGAGGATGCGTTGTGCTGCAGAAGGATGGCATGACGTGGGCAGAAGGTTACCATGACTGCGCTTCCAATCGCTGTTCCATTTGCTTCTCCGTTCTTCTTTTTATTGTCTTAACACTTTGGGTTTATTTTTCCCGTTGCGTCTTCCCCCAATGGCAGACACATGTATACTGAAAGCGTGTAGCGCGCACGGTCACTGTGTCAAGGACGCGTTGGGGTGGGCCTCTTGTGTTTGTGACGTTGGCTTCACGCTGCAGAAAGATGGCAGGACATGCAAAGGTGTGTGTTGCTGTGTGTCGTGTTTATGTGTGCTTTCATGTCCTTGTATATTTTGCTGCTCTACGTTTCCTTCTGAGTGCCCCTCCCTCTCCTCCCTCTCCCTCTCCCTCCTCCTCTCCCTCTCCCTCCTCCTCTTCCTCTCCCTCTCCCTCTCCCTCTCTCTCTACCACACAAGCTCTTTCCCTCCACCTATAGCTTTCTCTCTCTCTCTCCCTCTAATTGTCCCCTACCTCTCCCTTTATCTCCCCCTCTTGTTTACGCTCTCTCTTTCTCCTTCTGCCATATCCACCTATGGCAAGCGTGCATTGCATCTGTACGTCCTCCTCTTTCCCCTCTGTTCTCGTTCTCTTACTCCACAATGCCCCACACTCATTGGCACCCCCTCTTCCCCCCCTCCCCTTCCCTCCAGATAACTGCATTATTAAGAACTGTGACATACTCACGTCGTATTATTGTATGAAATATCCAAACGGTAATGCAGACTGTGTCTGCAGGTCAGGCTACACAAAGCTCTATGGCGAATGTGTTGGTACGTCACAATCTCTTTTAATACATCCTCACCTCCCTCCCTTCCCCCACCTCTCCTCCCCCGTCCCTCCCTTCCCCCCCAACTCTCCTCCCCCGTCCCTCCCTTCCCCCCCACTCCCCCTCTCTCTTCATCCTCTGTCCTTGTCGCACATTGGATTGTCCTGCTTTGTGCTGTCCTATGCGCATGCCTGTCGTCACCTGCTTAAGCTGTAGCACGGTTGCACTAACCTTCTCCCCTTTTACTCTACCTGCTGTCCTGCACTAACATACCCCCACTATTCTCTATCCTGTGCTCACCAGGGCCTGCAACCTGCGGGAACTGTCCAGCTGGGGCCACATGCACTCTTGTCTCATCTACTCTCAAGGCTCCTTACTGCTACTGCCCTGGTGGCTATGGCATGACCAGCACTGGTTGCGTCCGTGGTAAGACCATTATCTTGCAATCAAGGGCACCAATCTTACTGCATTTGAGGGTAACCAATGTGCAAGGGTCTAGGTCTAGACACTTGTGCTCGCATCACGAGCTCCATACCCCATTTCAAACTCCATACCCCATTTCAAACTCCCCCAATTTTCTGTTCTCCCGCTTTGTCATCCTTCCAGGATATGTCCCAACCGTCTCCTCGGCGAGTTTCACCTTCTACAACCTGCCCAAGTATGACTTAACACCCAACACCTACACTCTGCGCGTGATCTACAACGGCTGCACCAACCTGCCTACGTCTATTGGTTACTACGTCCAGTCATACTGGCGAGTGGACCGTGCACCGGGAGGAATTGGAAACTGCAAGACTATCTACGTGTATCGCTATCCTAACTGTGCTGGATCGCCCATTGCTCAGCTCCCGTACCTGTCACTGGGCAGCATCACTGCACAGGGTGTTCCGTAAGTCATACACCCAATCTTTTTTTCCCATACATTTGTCTCATTCCTGCTTCGCTATAAACTCCTCGTTGGTTCTGGAAGCCACTCAGTCCCATGCACACCCACTTCTCTTGTGCATTCACGTTTTCCTCCACCTATCTGTTTGTTTTTGACCCGCTAACAGATACACTTCAGCTGACATGCTGTCTTTCAAGTGTATGCACTAAGTCACTAGCTTGTGGAGATGCTTCTATGAAGACCAAGAATTCAAGACTCCAAATGAAATAATGCTCCTTCTCAAGGCAAGAAGGCAGCAGGGAATGAGTCTGAAGACAGGCCTTCGAAGTGGTGCCGTTAATCCGGCTTGATTTAACCAGGGAAATGAAGTTCTTGCTGTCTAGTCTGCTCTACCTCTCTTCCCCACCCACTTACGGTGCCACTTTTGTTCTCCCTTCTTCCTCCCCTTCCTCTCTTCCCAATCCAATAGCAGTTACCTACATACCGGTACATGTGTGTGTGGGTGTGTAGGTGTGGGTGGGTAGGTGTGTGAGTGTGTGTGGAGCATGCACATGAATACTAATGTAAAAGTGCATGCAGTAATACCGCTAGTGTTTTTTTTTTTTAAAGAGCTCCATATTGACCTCCATTCTCACCTTGAATGTTGGTACAAAGCTCTACATGTGCGTTTGGGCAGGCTAAAGCGAACTCCTTTTTTATTTCACTTGGACGAAACATCGGTATGGTATGTGGAAAGCTCAGCAATCTGCTATGTGCCTCTGATAGAGAATGATTACAAGGGCCACCCAAGCAAATGTCAAGTACCCAGCTCATGACACATCGAAGTCGACGATGCAATTGGCTCAATTTGCTTGTGCATACCCGCGCAGCACGGATCCAACATGCTGACTGGGTTGATTTGAAGAATGAAATGGCTCAGGGCCGATATGGCTCTTTCGTAGGCGGTAGTGGCTCATCATATCGTTCTGCCTGGTTACAATCACATGTTACCACTCCATGGCAGCCCCATAGCAGCCCCATAGCAATAATACATAATAGTATTGAATATTTGTGGAGTCCGATGTGACGCAATCGGGAATGGAAAACAAATGAAGGAAAACGCAATAGTATAGCTTGAGAAGGAAAACAAATGAAGCCTAAGGGAATTGAGGGCCACAAAACAAGCAGCACTGTTTGTTATCAGAGTAATAATAATACACGGTACGGTACAAGAGAGAAGGAAAAGGAAGAGAAACAATAATATCGTAGAGCAGAAAGTGGTACTATAACGCAGAGAGTGGACAACAAAGGGAGTGACAACAACAAGAGGGGAGAAGAAACCCCCCCACAGCCCCCCCACGGCCCCCCTAAGGCCCCCCTACCCCCCAATCCTCCTCACAGCCCCCCACAGCCCCCCAGCCCGCCCCCACTATCCCTGGCATGGCATGGTCCCCCCCTATCCCTGGCACGGCATGGTCCCCCCCTATCCCTGGCATGGCATGGTCCCCCCCTATCCCTGGCATGGCATGGTCCTGGTCCTGGTCCTGGTCCTGGTCCTGGTCTTGTTCCTGTTCCTGTTCCTGTTCTTGTTCATGTTGTCAGAAGGTGGCTGGAACAGTAACAAGACGGCAGGAACAGTAGCTGGGCAGCAGTAACAGTAACAAGGTTGCCGTAGCAGTAACTGGGCGGCTGGAACAGTACCGGGCAACTGGAGCGGTTACCAGGTGGGTGGAGTGGTAACCAGGCGGCTGGAGCGATAACCAGGCGGCTGGAACGGTAAGCAGGCGGCAGGAACAGTAACCGGGTGGCATGAACAGTAGCCGGGCGGCAGGAACAGTAACCGGGCTTGCAGGGGCCAAGGCTAGGCCAAACCCACCCAGTGCCTAGCCCACACCCACCCCGCAGCTCTAATATATCGACACACGCACACAAGTACCGTACAAAACAAGAGCAAGGTGCATGTCCTTCTAAATATCCTACTTGTAGATGTGTCTCGTGTCTTGGCGGGGTGAGAAGGTCTCTTCACGGCGCCCTGCAGCGAGAGAAGGCCACCTGCGCAAGGCGGGGTGGGGAGGGGTGGCAGGATGGCAGGTGTGACAGCATGGCTCTCCGAGCCTCATCCAGACCAGAGCGGAGAGTGAACAGTGCAGGATGGGAACCAGTGGGGTGAACAGTGCGGGATGGGGAAACAGAGGGGTGAACAGTGCAGAATGGGGAAACAGAGGGGTGAACAGTGCAGAATGGGGAAACAGAGGGGTGAACAGTGCAGAATGGGGAAACATTGGGGTGAACAGTGCGGGATGGGGAAACAGTGGGGTGAACAGTGCGGGATGGGGAAACAGTGGGGTGAACAGTGCGGGATGGGGAAACAGTGGGGTGAACAGTGCGGGATGGGGAAGCAATAGGATGAACAGTGGGGGATGGGAAAACAGGGGGGTGAGGAGGAGTGCAGAGCAAGGGAACGATGAGTGCAGAGCAAGGGAACGACGAGTGCAGAGCAAGGGAACGACGAGTGCAGAGCAAGGGAACGACGAGTGCAGAGCAAGGGAACGACGAGTGCAGAGCAAGGGAACGACGAGTGCAGAGCAAGGGAACGACGAGTGCAGAGCAAGGGAACGACGAGTGCAGAGCAAGGGAACGACGAGTGCAGAGCAAGGGAACAACGAGTGCAGAGCAAGGGAACGACGAGTGCAGAGCAAGGGAACGACGAGTGCAGAGCAAGGGAACGACGAGTGCAGAGCAAGGGAACGACGAGTGCAGAGCAAGGGAACGACGAGTGCAGAGCAAGGAACGACGAGTGCGAGCATGGACGACGAGTGCAGAGCAAGGGAACGACGAGTGCAGAGCAAGGGAACGACGAGTGCAGAGCAAGGGAACGACGAGTGCAGAGCAAGGGAACGACGAGTGCAGAGCAAGGGAACGACGAGTGCAGAGCAAGGGAACGACGAGTGCAGAGCAAGGGAACGACGAGTGCAGAGCAAGGGAACGACGAGTGCAGAGCAAGGGAACGACGAGTGCAGAGCAAGGGAACGACGAGTGCAGAGCAAGGGAACGACGAGTGCAGAGCAAGGGAACGACGAGTGCAGAGCAAGGGAACGACGAGTGCAGAGCAAGGGAACGACGAGTGCAGAGCAAGGGAACGACGAGTGCAGAGCAAGGGAACGACGAGTGCAGAGCAAGGGAACGACGAGTGCAGAGCAAGGGAACGACGAGTGCAGAGCAAGGGAACGACGAGTGCAGAGCAAGGGAACGACGAGTGCAGAGCAAGGGAACGACGAGTGCAGAGCAAGGGAACGACGAGTGCAGAGCAAGGGAACGACGAGTGCAGAGCAAGGGAACGACGAGTGCAGAGCAAGGGAACGACGAGTGCAGAGCAAGGGAACGACGAGTGCAGAGCAAGGGAACGACGAGTGCAGAGCAAGGGAACGACGAGCCTCACCGTTGTCTCACCTCGTGCCTCACTGGCTTCGCCTTAGCCTCGCCGCACCGTTGCCCAGCTGCGCCCGTCACTGTCGGCAGAAACGAGCAAGGGCGGAAACGAGCAACGGCGGAAACGAGCAACGGCGGAAACGAGCAAGGGCGCAACGAGCCAGGACAGAACGAGCAAGGGCGCAACGGGGGGGAAGGGAATAACAAGGTAGGGGGGAAAGGGAATAAAGAGGAAGGGAATAAGGGGATCGGGGGAAAAGGGGATAAGGAGGGCAGGGGGGGGAGGGACTCTCCTCGTGCCTCTCAGCGCGGAATAGGCACTTGGCCGCGCCTGCAGCGCGGAACGGGCACTTGGTGGCGCCTGCAGCGCGGAATAGGCACTTGGCCGCGCCTGCAGCGCGGAACGGGCACTTGGTGGCGCCTGCAGCGCGGAATAGGCACTTGGCTGCGCCTGCAACGCGGAACGGGCACTTGGTGGCGCCTGCAGCGCGGAATAGGCACTTGGCGGCGCCTGCAGCGCGGAACGGGCACTTGGTGGCGCCTGCAGCGCGGAAGAGGCACTTGGCCGCGCCTGCAGCGCGGAAGAGGCACTTGGCGGCGCTTGCAGCGCTGAAGAGGCACTTGGCCGCGACAGTGCCGAGCCTCTCACCAGTCAGTGCCGAGCCTCTCATGGCGCGCGATCCGCCGCCTGCCACGTGGCGCGCGATCCGCCGCCTGGTGATGCTCGCGTGCTGGTGGGAGAGGTAGGTAAGTGCGTTTCCTTCGTCATAGGAACATTTGCCGTCACAGCACCACTCGTGTCGCGTCGCTGTCAAAGAGAGAACATATTCGTTACAAAAACAATAGAAAGATCTAACGCAAATCTGAATCCAAGAGGAGGCAGTGAAGCAGCACGCACCCGCTACGAGTTAAGAAGGCCCTGGTGATAGTGTTGAGCGGGAAATGGCGGGAAAAGGCAGGAGGCAGAAAATGGAGAGGAAAGGAAGGGCCGGGGAAGAAGGAAACTTTAGCTAGAAAGATAATCTCACGATAATATAAATATAAATCGCAACTGAAAAACAAGAGCTTCTGCTGGAACGCGGAATATCTCTCACGGGACCCTAAGCTGATGCGCCCACCATTCCGCCAGCTACTTTCGCGGCGCGACATCGGCCATCTGCTACCGCGGCGCGCCATTCCGCCATCTGCTGCGCGTGCCCCTCCGCCTGCTTCTGCGAGCGCCAATTTCCCTGCTGCTGCGCACGCCATTCCCCCTGCTGTTGGACGATCTACGACTAGGAGAACAAATAATAAAAAGCTAAGAGAATGCTACTAAGAGCATTGAGAGAAATGACTACAGAACGCTACTACTAGTGAGACCATCCAGTGAGAGGGACGCTGGGAGAAGAAGAGCAGTCGAGAGAAAGGAGTCAAGGAGGAGGTAACAAGGCGACTGAAAATTCCGATCTCAGTGAAGCAACAAGCACCCGCTACGAGCTAAAGATATAAGCCAAAGGCGCTAGGTGAGAGAAAAAACGCAGTCTATGCACTCGTCTCTGCAGTCGTCTCTCGACCTGT